TAAGTGGAATGACCAAACAAACCACAACGATCACATAAACGAAGATTTAAATTATCAAGTAAACGTAAATTAGTACCAAAAATAGTCAAAAAACAAATATTTTCATCCTCAATCCTCTTCCTTGAATGGGCTGCAAAACTCATCAGAATCAAATCATACAACTCTCCAAGAATCATATAATCAATTCTGAAAACTGAATCCACCAACCAAGAATTTTCTCGCAACAATTGATCTTTCAAAACCTGATGATTACGAAAACGCTGCAAACGCAAAGACTTTGGCACCAGTACCTTCATCATCGGCAATATTGGACTTGGCTCCAACCATTCGACCATATTATAATTCTCTCGAAAAAACCGCAACTTTGTTAACCTTTCGTGCTTACTACCAAAAGAAATCTTTAGACACTTTGAACCATAAGAATAATCCAAATTCTCAGTCTTAATTACGTCTATTAAAACCTTTTCCAAATCCTGAGCACCAAGCATACATGATCCACTTCTTGAACGAGCAATCAAATTCCAATTTCTACGAACGCCTTGAACATCCACTTTTAAAAAATCAGGACCAATGAAAACTATCAAAAAAGGTAAAAAATTCCTTAAACGATACTCCAAAGCCTGAATAGTTTGATGTTGAACTACAGTCAAAGGTCCACAGAAAGACTTCACAACAGCCAAATCTGATTTTATCAAACTTATTTCATCAGCGAAATTCAATTCACCCATCAATAAAAAACCCTCCAATTTAGTTAAAAAAGTATCGAGATTAGAATCCATACTAGAAAATAAAAATTAGAAAATGAATCATTATAAACATTAAGAAAGGCATAAAAAAACCATTTTCATGGAAAAAAGCCATAGAAAGAAATCAATTATAAGATAACATAAGAATAAGTATGATTAACACGCTCTAATTCAGTTAACAAAAGATCAAGAAAAACTTGACAACCCCTGTTATAAACACTCTCACCAACTTTACCACAATTCGAACACTTATGCAAATCACACTTCAGAATAACCGGACAATTAGAAGATAAATGATTCTTTGCACAATAACCACAAACCGGTAGACGAAAACATTTTTCTCGACGATGACCAAACTTACAACAATTATCACACATCATCAGTGAAAAATTATCATAAACTTGCAATTTTCCACAAGAAGTTGATACCTTCCCAAAACTCTCATCAATCAAAGTTCTCACTCGAGACTCAACTTGCAAAATTAACCGATAACTCCCACGGAACTTTGTTGCAGTCCTAAACGTTAGTCGCAAATCAGCACTCCAATGATTCCACTTCGCCAATTTCTTCAACCAATCACACCAAAAAGAATCAGTTATGTCTCCAGTAACATTTATCTTCTCAATACGAATCAATGGGTCATGCAAATCAGGATATTTCACATAATAAGAAGAAATGAAATTTGAATCCGACATCAACTTATCACGAAAAGTATCACGGGAAACAAGTGAATCAAGTCTAAATTTTAGACAAAATTTACCAACAGCAACTCGCTCAATACATTTAACATCCAACGACTGAATCAAAGAATCCAAATCAGATTTCATATCGGCACCAGAAACTGCGTCCAAGTTCGCAAAAACAAGAAGTACAGGTCGAAGTTCAAAAGAAGAAACATCCAACCAATTAGCTGGAACCTCCTTCTTAATTTGATACTTTATAAAAACCTGCCTACTCATTTCTTCACGAGTTCTTATCAAAGACATATCCAACCTTGTCTCATCAACAGGATTACCAATAGTCACCTCATTTGAACCCTTCCAATTAGTGTACATCATAGTGAAGTTTTCCAAAACGATTCTCTCTTCATGTTCCAAAGTTAACATATTAATCTCATTATCACAAAAATCCTGGACAAAATTAACCATTTCAAGAAAATCCTTTTCACCATAAACACTCATCAACTCATCCATAAGTTCATCACCACTTCTATTCTGTGAAAAACGCTTAATCACATTTAAACAAGCATCCAAATCCTTTAAAGGTTCAACACTGGTCACCATCTCCTCACCAATCGGCGGATTACATGTTTTTCTCTTCTTTGGAGGCATAATGTTGAATTTTAAAATGAACAATGTCAGAAAATCAATCAGGTATGAAAACTTATTAATCAAAAACTTTAAACTCAAAAAAGATCATATACTAATAATGAACGAAACTAATCCCTCCAATGTTCAACTAACAAGTAAAAATATTATAAGACACAACCAAGTAACAGTATGTATACCAAACTACGTCATAATCAGAAAAATCATAAAAATGTACAAAAACATCCTAATACTCCTCCTACAATACAAGGAGGGACTCTTCTTCCTCGTCAGCCTATACAGAACACCAAGAAATGACTTAACAACCGAACAAATTATAGAAACAATTAAACTAATTGGTAACAAACCAACACTAATATGTGGAGACATAAATATGGAAAGCGAAATTTGGACCAAAAATCCAAGAAAAGATTGCAATGGCAATAAGAAAATGCTAGAGAATTTAAACAAAACTCTTAAATCTTTTAACTATCGAAATACACTAACTGACGAAGGTACAATTATCAACCCTAATGCAAAGAAAAGCTACAATATTGATATCATACTAGCCAATTTTATTCACCACTCAATAGATAAAAAAATCAAAAACAAATTTAGTGACCATAAAATCATCAAAAGCTCAATCCACATTACTACGTTTAAAGAAAAAATAAATAGAACCAAATACAAAATAGAAAAAATTGAGGAAAGCGAAAATCATTTGTATAACTTAACCAGAATATTTACATCACCTATCAGAAAAAGAATTCCACATAGAGTCAGATTTAACGCAATCAAATTCAACAACCTAAAAAACATGACAACACTACAACTCTGGGAGGAAATAAACAAAATAGAAACATCTAATTTTGACAATCTCTTCGAAAAACCTAAAGATAAACTCAAAGCAAAATATTTCACTACTATCAATGAATATCATGAAATTAAATATAGCAAATTAACAATAGAAGAAATTAACTTAATAAAAACGATTAAATTTAATAAATCATCATCTACAGCTGATCCCTTCGAAGTTAGAGATTGGAATAAATTCAAAAAACTTAATAATGAAACAATCATTAATACCATAAACAAAATCTTCATGATTGGAAAAATTCCAAATATAATGAAAATTAGTGGAGGAACTGAAATACCAAAAAAAGATAACAAATTCAGAACAATTAGAAGCCAATCATTCATTACCAAGATAGTCGACAAAATATTAACTAATAGAGTAGTTAAACAAATAAAAATAGACACCAAGAAACAATTCGCTTATATACCAGGAAGCGACAGAATGAACTTCATAATAGAATTCGAAAAGCTAAGACAAAAATACGAAAACTGCTACCTATTAGACATCAGCGGAGCTTTCGACAAAATTAACCTAGACAAAATATTTGATGAATTAAAAAATATAATCGATGAACAAACTTTATCACTAATAGTATCTTTCTTTCATAACAGAAAAATCAGAATATATAGACAAGAAAAATTTGAAATAATTAATGAACCCAGAGCACTTATCCAAGGTACTAGTTTATCACCAATATTATTCTGTCTCGGAATGAACAAGACTCTCGAAGAAATTAACAAAGAAATCGAAGTAATATCATACGCTGATGACTTACTCACATTTACCAACTCTAACTTACTAACCACAATAGAAACAATCAATAATCATCTCAATAAAATTAATCTCACTCTCAACCTAAACAAAATTAAAACAATACAAGAAAATTACAACCTCTATCAAAATCAGATTACAGGATATCACACTAAATTTACCAAAGAAATCACTTTTAAGACAGAAATAAGAAATGAAATAAAAGAAATTTGCAAACAATTAACTACTAAGAAAATCAACAATATCCTAACACCTTACATTACCGTTAACTTTATTAAACTAGGAACCTCACCCTTCACACTTAACAATCTATACAAATACAGAATTAGACTATTAATTATCGAAGGATTGAAAACCATCTCACATGCTCTTAAAATAAATTTAGCGTCTTACTGGTGGTCATATATACTAAACATCAAAAACCCTGCCATTGTTTACATAAAACTGATCATAAGAAAACTAATTAAAAATCAAGGAAATCAAGAAACCTTTCCGATCCTCAATAACTACAATCACATTAACATAATAGAAAAAACTAAAACTAACCACCTAAACAACAAACTAACCATTACAGAAACAATAGAAACAATTAATCTTCACTTCAATAAAAACCACATCTGCTTGAAAACACTGAGAAAGCCCAAACATAAACACTTTAAAAATGATCCAAAGAAAATGGTCTCCAACATACTCTCTATAATAGACGTTGCCCTTGACGATACCAACAAACAATATCAGCTTTCAGTTGAACCGCATATAAATAAACTCATCCAAAGATATTTGAGTAACCTAGAAGAAAAGAAAGCAATAAAAATAAACATTAAAAACAATTATCAGAAATGCTTTGAAACAATAGAAACTGAAGAAATAGCGATTACACTTACCAACAATAATGATCTAAACAAAATAATTGAATCAACTCTTGAACAAACACAAAGACAATTATATTATCTATATGCACCCAAATACGTAAAGACAATGTTTCCTAATGGTAACAAAAAATTCGAAGAAGGAAAAATAAGATATCCACACACGCTAATCGAAACAATTAGAACACTTAAAATACACTACCTTAAGAATAACTGCTGTGGCGAGAAACAAACAACTGAGCACTTTATGAACTGTAATAAAATAAAGAAAACAGACTGGAACATGGAAAACAACTACATGAAGAACATCAAGATACTGAAACAAATAAAAAAGAAAATTGAACAAAAAAGAATGACAAGCAAAAAATAATCGACCATCGATGTAAACATCGAATTGAGTCACCGCCAAGCGGAAAACTAGGGCACCACCCTAATCTTAAAAAATGTTATATTTACTGTTATATTTGATTTGTCCCAGTTACCTTATTAATTATTAGCAATTTATAAATTGTTATCCATTTAATTCTTGTCGAATGTAGTAGTTGAAACAATTAATCTCAACTGAAGAAAATATTGTTCGACCCTCGAGTATATCTTTAAATCTCTTGGATGGTCAACCATTGTCGGGATTCAACTTTAGAATAGAGTTTTTTTCATATTCTCTTTCTTTTCTTTTCATCATCACCATCATCACTTTTCTCATCATCATCAACATCATCATCAACAACAACAACATCATCATCATCAACAACATCAACATCAAATGGTGCACTTGTCTTTCCTTACTTTTTCTTGTCTTTTCTTTTCCTTTTCTCCTTCTTCTTCCTCTTTTTCCCTTGATCGCTTTTCTTACCCATTGGTGATTTAGGTTTTCTTTTTTTTTCTTATATTCTTTTCATCTTTATCTTCATCATCTTTCATCTTTCTATTATATTACTATTGTTTTATACATTTATCATCTTTTCTATTACTCTCTCATTTTCCTTCTTTCTCTGTGTTCATATTCTTACCTCTTGTGTCTTAGATATTATCTTTTATCTACAACCTCAATCTCCATCCATAAAACTGTGCGAATATAATCTTCATCTTGAAAGCTTTTTTTCCTCTCTCACTCACTTACTCTTTCTCTCTCTCTCTCTCGTTTATGAAAATTCTTTTACAATTTTTTTATAACATTTTTGCTCACTATCCCAATATCTCAATATTTGTCTTCTATTAATTAACAACTAAAAAATCTACTGGTCATGAGGCCTGAGATTAACTTCTTAAGTCCTTGCTTATCTTAATTTTCCTATAAGCTATACATTAGATATAAGCTATTTATTTTTGTTTCTTTTTCTGTTTTCTATTTTTCTCTCTCTCTCTCTCTCCTCCATCAACATTATCATCCCTGAAGCATGGTAGATATTTTTTAAACTCTTTAAAACCAACTATCAAGGAGTAAATCTTTTTAAAAGGCAACAAAAAGATTCTCAATTTCAGCCAACATAACCATTTTTTATGTTTAATCCTTTGGATTAAAAACAATAGAAAAGAGAGAGAAAAAGAAAACGAAAGAGAAAGAGAGAGTGAGAGAGCGCGCAAGAGAGAGAGACATAGAATGACAGAGAGAAAGAGAGAGAGAGAGAACTAGTCAAATTTTAATCCACATCATTTTTATTACTCATCATCTTCATATCTACTTGTGTGTTTCTCTTCCTCTCATTTTTTTTTCTTCTTTTCTAATTTGTTAATTATCAACATTTTCGCTTTGATTTCCTCTTTATTATTTTCCATCATCAAAGCTTGTGTTTTGTTAAAATCTTCAATCTATTATGGCTAAACTACGATCTGGTATCGATGATCTGGTCAAACTGTTAGAAATGGTCAATGAAATTGAAGAAAATGGTGAAGAGTTTACTGAAGAGGAATTACGAAAAGCTTTTATTCCAGAAGATAATGATGCAATTGGTAATCTAAGTGAAGATTTTTCATCTACTTCGACAAAATGTCCACCTTTAAACTTAACTAATGGTAAATCACCATCATCATCAACACCAATAGAAACATCATCATCTTTATCATCGTTATCATCATCACCATCAACCTCATCATCACCATCATCATCATCCTCTCCAACAACATCTTCATCATCACCATCTAACCAACCAAAAAGTAATAATAATAATAATAATAATAATAATGAAAATATTATTATAAAGGATAACATAAATAGTACCATTAATCCAGACCAAACCAAAGATGAAGAAAAAAAGGAAACTATAACTGGTAATGGACCAATTAATTCACCTAACAATTTAAATGATAATATAGTAACAACCACTGTTTCTACCACTAATGATGATAATGTTAATAATAATCAAGTGAATAGAGATGATGATAGGAGTGTTACTGTTGTAATTGGTGAACAGAGAAAAGATGAAGATAAAATGTTATCTGATTCTGGAGATGATAACGTTACCAATGATTCTCCGTTTTTTACCTTCTCTATGGTAAATCATTCTATAACCAAAGACCAGAGTGGAAAAAATTTATATCATTGTTATGTTTGTAATGCTATTTATCGTCATTCATTCAGTTTAAAGCGACACTTTATTCGTACCCATATAAACTATGCTTTCCTATGTGATGCTGATTTAGCTAATTGTAGTATCACCCTTGCTCTAAGTGAATCACATCTTGCTTGGATATCGAGATTAAAATCAACATTATCAACAACAGCAACAATTTCTAATGGTGAAAATGTTTCCTCTCCTGATACAGGTCAACCATCAACATCCTCTGGTAATCCATCATCATCAGCATCTTTAGTTGACTCTTATTTTGGTTCTACTAATCATTTGGTCTCTGGAAATTTAGATTCATCCATGTTACCCTCTTCATCTACTGTAACAACAACTACAACTGAAACCGCCACCTATCAACCACCCAAGTCTAAAGGTTTATATTGTTGCCACGCTTGTGTTATGTTTTTTGATAGAATTGGTTTTCTTCGAGCTCATCTTAGAGAGCAACATCGTTCTCAAAATTCAGATACTTTGGAAGCCATTAGATTACCTTGTCACCGATGTGATATGACATTTATTCAACGGGCACAGTTGGTACGACATCTTAGTAGTGCTCATGGACTTATTACATCTCAACCATCATCAATGGTTCAACCATCAGTGGAAACATCAACATCAACTTCATCATCAACAATAACAACAACCACAACCAATACAGTTGGAGGTATTAAACGTAAAAAGGGTTCATCATCATGTTCAACTACATCATCATCATCATCATCTGGCTGTGACCAAAAAAACTCATCAAGTGAAGAGAAATGTGATGACGAGGAAGAAGATGGTAATAGTAGTTCATCACAAGAACGTAATCATCTTACCTGTAATCAATGTCCCTTTAAGTGTAAGTCACCTGAACAGTTGAAGAAACACATCTCATCCCGACATCCGATTAATACGCTTACATGTGCTTATTGTAAAATTCAATTCAATGTTAAAAAGCAGCTCATTGAACATCTTTCCCGTGTTCATAGTAAATCACTAGTGGCCAATAGTCGATTACTCAAATCAATGTGTATTGAATCAACATCTTTATCAACATCACCTTCAACATCAACTGCTCATGTTGATGCTACAACCTCAACTTTATCCTCATCCTCTTCTCAACGTTTAAAAAATACCATTTCAACTCGATCTCTTAAACGTCGACGTGCCAATCGTCGTGGAGCTAATTATGATGCAGATGATTATGACGATGATCTATTTGAGTGTCACGAATGTTATGCTAAATTTCATATAGCAACCGAATTGTTGAAACACGCGGAAACTGTTCACAATCCCACTCGAAGTACTCGATCCGTTAATAACAATGCTTCTTATCGAGATGAATCTGCCTTCTATCAATCTCTTGCACAGAAAATATCTGAGAATCTATTATTCTATGTTGATGGTAAACCCAAGGTTCAACCAGATAATGATTGTAACAACAACAACAACAACAACAACACCACCGGTAGAAACTCAACCAGCACCAATAACTGCACAGACAAACCCAACGAAAGCTCAACTAACCAGATTAAATTGTTGAACTTACAAGATTACAATTTTCCTCCTGGTTTTAAACTATATGCCGATGATGATGATGATTGTGATATTACTGTAAATGAACAAAAATCAACCAACGGTGGTTCAATTGCTCAAGTAAATAATAACAATAACAACAACAATCTATCAATGATCAACAATGATAATAGTAATACAATTAAAGACAAAGAAACGGAATCAGAGAAAGATAATAAAAATATTACTATTTCATCAACAACCTCAACCACAACCACAACCACCACCACCGATGCTAACAATGGATTAGTCATTGATTTTACCAATAATCAATCAACAGGTACAATTGATGTAAAACCGGGAACTTTGGTTTTCATTTGTAATGCATGTGATAATTATTTCCTTTCATTAAGTGATTTTGATGAGCACGAAATTAATAATCATCCAAATGTATTTTGTTCGTACACCGAAATTGAGTACAATCCAAACATTCCCGTCAATATATTTAGATGGCAATCCTACAGTCCCCATGGATTATTAAGATCATGTAAAGTACCTGTGATTGTCTCTTCATCTTCCGAGCCTAGTATTAAATGTACTAAGTGTCACAACAAATTTTCCACTGCCACGGAGCTTTATCAGCATATACTTGATTGCTCATCTAAATCAAAAAGAAAATCAAAACCACCAATCAAATCAATATCATTATCAATTTCATCGTTACCCATAACCTCATCTTCATCTTCACCAACAATACAACCACCAGAAAAAAATGCAATAACAATACCAACTGCAATAATGACAGTAAATGATAATCAAAATATCAAACCAAAATTAACAATTTCTCCTCAACCAAAAGTACCAATAATTTCATCTTCATCACCATCTCCTAAATCATCAACAACAATTACTACAACTACTGCGACACCATCCACTTCATCGTGTATCTCACAACCTTCATCTTCATCTTCATCTTCATTAATCTCTTCTACCTCTTCACTTTCAACTTGCTCATCAAAAAGAAAAGCTCAACAAAAAGTCACTCCCGTCTCTTTAAAACTTCATCCGTTCGTAGATCAGGTCAATCACAACGATCGACCACTGGTACCAGTAGTATATTAGATTCTCTATCTTATAGTACTCGTTCTGCCCGGAAACGAGAAAACAATGATGTCGACATTGACGTTGACTGTGGCCTTAGTTTGGTTAAAAAACGGATACGAAAAGTCCGTTATAACTGTACAAATTGTGGTGAAATTTTCAGTCATCATTTGACCTTTGCTAAACACCGTAATCATTGCCTTAAGTCATCAACAAGTGTCAAGGAAGAAAAAACTTTTCCTTGTGAAACCAAGAAGACCAAAAATTCTGACACATCAACTTCATCATCCTCATCAACAACAGAACTATCAACAAAAAATGCAATAACATCAGATGCTATAATTACTACAATTAATGACAATCAAAATATCAAAGCAAAATCAACAAAATCTCCTACATCATTAACAACTACTGCAACATCATCGATGCCTTCATCTTCAGCTAACTCCTCCGTCTCAACACTTACAAATGGCTCATCACAACGGAAAGCTCAACAAAAAGTCACTCCTGTCTCCTCGCAATCTTCAACTGGTCGGAGGTCAGGTCAATCTCCACGATCAACCTGTTCCAATAGTATACTTGATTCTTTATCGTATAGCACTCGCTCCAGGAGAAGAGAAAACAATGGAGCCGAGATAGACTTAGATTGTGGCCTTAGTTTGGTCAAAAAACGGATTCGCAAAGTCCGTTACCATTGTACAAACTGCTGTGAAATCTTCAGTCATCATTTGACCTTTGCTAAACACCGTAATCATTGCCTTAAGTCATCAAGTGTCAAGGAAAAGAAAACTGTTCCTTCAAACACCAAAAAGACCAAAAATTCTGACACCTCAACCTCATCTTCATCATCATCCACAACATCCTCGCCCTCGAAAACTACAAAAAGACCAACCCATCGTGTCGATTCAATTAAACGTCGATCCATATTATCAGAACCTTAAAACAAAAGCCCAAAACTTTAATTATATAGCTCATTATAATTTCATTATCTAATTGTATCAACAAACAATTTTGTTAACTACTTTCCGCCAAAAATAAAATTTCAATAAGGTTTCCAAATAAATTGGTTACAATTAAAAACGAGAACCAAAATTATAATTTATTCATTTTCGTGAAGGAAATAAATGAGATGAGTAAATATTAATTCTTGATTAGAATTGGTAAAAAAATCAAATTCAAATGGTTGAGATTTAAAAGATAATCAGGAGACACCGATGATTATTTATTGATTGTGGTCTCATTGCGAGCAACCTCTGAGGCCATTTCGTCGATTTCATCGTCCTCACTGTCTGAAGAGTCGCTTTTGGCCTTGCTAATCGTCGGCGTTGGTTGATTAGTCGATTTTTCCGATGAGACCTCAGGTGAAGAGCTGAATCGACGGAGCGAAGTGGCCGTTTTATTGGTACTTTTTCCACCGGCTCTTAGGCGATTATCTTTGATTGGTGATTGATTCCTCTTGATGCCGAAGTGATTTCGAAATGAGTTAAGGTCAGATTTCTCATCGACATCGATCATCTCTTTATATGCTTTGGTTAAAAGTTCAACACTTTTCGAATGGAAATACAATTCAATCTGAACCAATTCTTTGAAGTATCTCTGTTAATGAAAGAAAATTAAATTAAATTGATTAGTGGTTCGAAATTAAATCTTGTCAACTCACTTTGAGATCTGATAATTTTCGCTTTTCAAATCGGTCGATTTGTAGTTCGTACATTTTGACAGCATTATGAATCTCGTTAATGCTACTGCTTCGGGCCATGTCACCCGCTTTGGCCTTGGCTAGTAAACCTTTACGAGTTTCCTCCTAAATGGACAAATAATTAACAATTTAGATTCTCTCATGTTAATCAGATCAAAATGTTCGTGATTTTGATTCAAATTCATCTTGAGACTTACTCTTGCTTTCTTGCAGAGTTCACCATAGACGCTCATCTCTTGGATGATCCGACCTTCCAATTGGAAAACCTAATTGTCCACATGATGATATTGATTAGTATACTAATTACTTTAATTACTCTGTTAATTACTAAGTTATACTTCTGTATTCCTTTGATCTTGAACAGCACTGAAATAATCAGCGAGATGAGCTAATCCATATTTTAGACTAGAATTGACATTTTCCTCTTCGGCAAATTTAACGATCGATGTGGCCAAAGAATCACCTTCGTCCCTGGTTTTGGCTATTTTACGATTATAAGAGGCCAGATTATAGCAAATTTCTCGTAAATGAGTCTCCAAATTAGTTAATCGGTCCATCATCGATTCCCTGTTACAAATCAAACAATCGCATCTCAATTAGAAATCAAGCAGAAATTAAGACGAATACACCGAATACTTTTCGCTGAAAGAAATACTAAAATATATACTCACTGGTGTCGAAAACGGTTCATATTCAATTCTAATAGAATTAGATAAACAATTAAACAGAATTCAAATTCACAATCATGAAAAAAAAACGAAACAAACAAAATAATTTGTTTTCATTTCTAAATAATTGGTAACCATTAGAAACACACAGGGAAGGTAAAGAACAAGGAGAGTATTAATCACTACAATTCTATGCAGAATCAATGATCCTATTAATGATAATTATCTGTAGAAATATTTAATTGTAACAACTTTTAATTCTATTGTATCTTAAATTATTCACAATTTGAATTGCAATCAAATAAAAAAGTTTTTTGCTATAGTGAAATCGGTTGGCTCCAATGGTCAACTCCAACTGAATGCTAATAACAATCTTCTGTATTTGTAACAATTGAAGTTTAATTATAATTGATGAGAATTAAAAAAAAACTTAAGTTTAATATTGTAAAACAAAATTAATTTTGATGATAATTATAAATCATCCTGATGATTAGTCAATAATCAATAAGTGCTCATAAATTGATCAATCAAAACGCTCAGTCAAATCAACTAATTGTCAATCCATTTGTTGATTATTTCATGCAATCAAAATTGTTAATAATTAGATGCTAAAATGAAAAGATTTTAATAATAATTGTAAATTGCCATTACTTATTCATTAATCACAATTAAAAGTCAAAGAAATTGAAATCAACCTGATTAACCAACTATTAGTTTATTAAGATTCACAAAAAAATGCTAAATTACTCTTCAGGCAAGTAAGTTCATTTATGTCCTGTTTTCAGCTTCAGTAAATCATTAATTATCTAGATATTAATCAAGATTAGAACAGAAAATATTTCGATTAATTTAATTATCAAAATGTAATTAATGGAAAAGTTTTCGCAAACAGCGACATCTATCGGTTTTCTTTGGAACTTTTTATTCTGTAAAATTTTGAAAAAGAAAAAAAAATTTTCTTGTTTGTTTACCTTTCGTTTGATTTTATTTTCTTCAACTGTAATCTAATGTAATTAAGTTTTTCTTTTAATTTTGTTTAACTTTTAATTGTTTAATGAGTAACTAAATTTGTCAACAGTTTAGATGCCAAAGTATCAGAAGAAGATTAAAACTGAAGCATTTAAACCTCTTCAGTTACATGATCAGGAAACATTTGAATTCCTTGGTAGATATTGTAATTTACCTTCATTCCAAGATGACCGATGGTTCATTTCAATTACCCAATGTAACCTGATTGATTCTAGAAATCGTTCTGATTATTATCCTGTTAACTTAAAATCGCCTTGTTTTAAGGTGACAATAAATGGAAACAATGATTCAATCGAGGAAAATGAATGGATTCAATTGGACATTTTTCAAACTCATTTTAATCCCGAGAGTGAAACTTTAACCTGTTACATTGGTTCAGAATCTTATACAATGGAATGGATATCAAAACCTTTCTCAGTAGATTATTCGTCCATTTTAAATAGTCAAGAAAACAATCAATCCAATTTAACTTGTCCAATTGGTGATTATCTTGTGGTTGCCAGTTTGGGTGATGGTAGAGGTTTTGATGATTATGAGGTAGCAAATTTCATAGAGAAAACCGAACCACCAGTTAATCGTAAAGGATTAATACAAGTTTGGAAATTTGATTCAAATAAACTTGAATGTGTCTGCTGTTTTGCCAACAATTATGGTACAATTTGGGCATTTGAAACACCTAAAGGTGGAACATCTTATTGTCCAGTTAAACGGAGACTTTCCTTGATTGCTGCCGCTTTCGATGATGGTTTTGTAAGAATATTTTCTCTTCCATTTCCAGAGGATTTAATTTCTCAACCATCTTCTAGTCAATCTAATCAGTCATCATCTATACTCAATCAATTACCTGCCATTTATAATTTGCCACCGGTTGTTGTCTTGGAACCTCCATTTTCCTCTCATATTGTTGCCCGATGTTTATCTTGGTCATGGTGCGATCAACAAAATTATCTTGCTGTGGGTTATGGCAATGGAATGGTTAATTACTACAATTTAGCCACCACTTCATCAATTTTAGTTCAAAGTAAAAGTGAGACCAATAATGATAATAATATTAGCTTAATAACGACACTTAAACCAGTTAAAACTTGGATCGCTCATGGGGCAATGGTTAGTGCAATTCAAATCTTACCTTTACCTGAGAGTAAGATAATTGTGACCGGTGGTTGGGATAGAAATATAAAACTATGGAATATCCATCAACCTCGTCTCCTTCCAATTTTAATTCTCCACCGATCGGTAGTTAATTGTCTGGTCTCTTCTCTTCATTTACCTGGAGGTTTCTTTATAACCCTGGATGAAGCATTTCTCGCCAGTAATCAATCAATTGTTACCTTTAAACAAATTTATGAAGAAGGTCAAAAGTCAAGTGAAAATCGATCTCTTTACACAATACCTTTCGAAACATCAAATGTACCATCTCTTTCACTTTCACTTTTCTTCAATTCGATTCTTGTATCAGACAATTCGGGTAACTCAATTCTACAGAATAATTTTCGAGCCAAACACGAGAAAACTACCCGTCGAAAATTATCTGACCTTTTGGTGAGTTTAATTGTGAATAATTAACACAAGCCAAGTAATAATAGTAATACTAATTGTTATTTTATCTTCTCATTTTCAGCCTGTATTTACAAGTCAATTAAAACATCTAGTCGCTCAAAATGCTGATGTTGACAAAAGTGCTAATATAATTGTGCCAAGTGATACAACTCCCATGGAGGTTGATAACGAAAAAGATCAAGAATCTGTGACAAAATCAAAAAAATCTACAGCGTCCAAGAAAAAAGGTGCCACGAAAAAAGGTACTACGAAAAAAAGTGCCGCTACTAGTAAAACGGGGCCAACGTCAGAGGCGAAAACAGTTCTGCCATCAAATGGTTATCTTATCGATAAAAGTGTCCAACGAGTTCGTAGTTATAAGGAAATGTCTTCCACTTATGGAATTATTTTCAACGATTTTACAATAAACCAAATGGGCCCTGCACTGGTTCCCATTGTGAATAAATTTCGAGAAGCTTCAAACCTTAAACGATCCCGATTAACTGATTATCCATTAACGTCCATCAATAAATGCATTTGGTCACCAAATAGAGAGACTCGTAACATTCTGGCGAATCTTATACACTCAGGTTTCATTAGAATTTCAACTTTGGCCAAAGAATTCGTCGAAGATGCAAATTCAAGCTCAACCACAACCACTGGATCTAAAGGATCAAAAGTATCAAAAGGATCGAAAGGGTCGAAAGGATCAAAATCGACCAAGAAAAAAGACGAAGAAAGTGTTAAACCTCGAGTATCAACACGAAGAAAAAGATCACTCCCTTCTTAATTGGATCCTAATTCCATAATGAAATAAACAACCTAATCTTCATAACCCCATTCAGTTTCCTTCATCTTCCTTATCAAGGACAATAAACAGGGAGGAAGGGAGAGAGAGAGAGAGAAAGAGAACTAAAAAGGGAAATGAACAAGTTCAATGTTCCCAACTACATTGAACTGTTCACTATTTTCCATGCACATGATTAAAGCATAAAATCAACTTTCTCAATGACCTAATTTCATTGAATAAGTCTACAAAAAAGAGAAATGGTAAGGGAAAATAGACAAATATAAGCGTTAGAATATAAAAAGCAATCAATTGAAACAGCAAAAAGAAAACATGAAAATCAGATTTAAAAGTCTTGTCCAATTTTGTTGATAGTTGAAGTTTTCCAACATTTATTTACGATTTTTTCAAATTACCACAACATTAAGACATCATTTTTGTCTCAGAAAAACTTTCATCTATCTAAGTTTATATTCAGAATCAAAAGATTTGTATTAACACTTATTTTAGAACAATTCAATTCAGCAAAAAAAAAGTAATCAATTGATTCTTATACTGATTCAAGTTTATCGATTCTGAGGTACAAACAATTAGATATTCAGCTTTGAATGAACAATCAACTCGCTCAAAAGTTCTAACGATTGAATATTCTAACGAACCAAAGACTCGATGCTTTTTCTAAAACACAAAAGGTCTAACAGATCTAATTGGAATATTTTGAGTGAAATTGCATCAATTCAATGCCTAAATTGTTCTAAGGTCATTTTTCCGTCCATTGTCACCCGAAAGATGGTTCACCGAACAGAATATCGAATCAAACTAAAAAGAGTTTTAACTAAATTAGAATATAATTTTCGATGTTGTTGTTTCATGAAGATGGAAAAACGATAATCACCAATTTGACGATTTAATTGACTGATTTATTTAATTGAATGATGATAAACACAAAATTAACTCTAAAATGTTATTAGTAAATTGAAACATCGACTCTAATTGATAATCAGTCTCCACTTCAACTGGTTAAGTTTATCACCGAGCTAATAATTAATTTTACTCTTTAATTGTTGTTTTATTAGCTCTTCAACTGACCGATTGTGATTATTATTGTTATTTGATTGCTTTGAAACTTGTTGATTTAACTAATTGATTTTAATTATACTCTGATAATGTTGATATAATCAACGCGTGAACGAGTTGAAATATAATTTAAAACTTTAAATATTATAAGAAATAAAATTAACCCATAGAGTAAAAAGTAAAACCAAGTTGATGATTGATCGAGTGAATTTAGTCTTAATTGTCTTGATTGTTTCCATAATCGGTAAGCTGAAATATTTTCAAATCGATTAACTGAATTATCGGCCAATTCAAATGATGATCTTTTCGGTACCAAATATTGATAATAATCAGTTAATGAGCTTCTGATTAGCTTTGTCTCATTGGACTCATCGTTCTGAATGTCGTCATTGAAGCAAAGAAACTTTTTCGGGTCCCGTCGAAGGCCATCTAATTTGTTAATCAATTGACCTGAATTCCCCCTGATCATGGTAAATGAAACTTCAGAATCACTCATGAGTGTATAACGATTTTTACCAATATAGGAAAACATTTTATCCAATGAATTAACGATTTTCTGACAGTCCAACAATTCATCAATTGTCCATTCGTAGCCTTCCTAATGTATGATTAATATTAGAACATTAATTTAAAACAAAGACAATTAGTTAATTTGGTTGATTAGATTTACTTACTTGTTTTAGAAAATTATAATCTGATCCATTCCAACAATCAGAGTAATTTGACCAAACAATTGGTACGATCGGAGGAGCGACAATATTAACTAAAAGTGATCGTAGTTCGTTTGCTGATAATTTGTTTGAATTGTCGGTGTCGAATTGTTTAATTAGTTGATTGTAATTAGCTGGTAGAGTTTCACTCATTAGAAAATTAAAGTAAGAAAATGAGAATTGCATATCATTTGAACTTCGTAATTTATGTGATGAGGTTAATGATAATTCTTCGGGAAATTGTTCCCATAAACGGGCGATTATCGATTTATCCAAAAGTATCGGTGAATGGGCGACAATTTTACGAGCTTTGATTCCGAAAACGCGATTGTACAAATGGTTAACAAATTTAATCGAATCTGAAAAGATGTCAAGTAATTGTCGCTGAGTAGTTTTCACCATTGATTGATCGTTAATTGTCGAGTATTTTTCATAATTAGCAATTAGATCTCCAAGTTTCTTAAAGTTTTCCTCATTTTCCCAAGGATAAACGCCGATCGGCCTTTGATCAAACTGTCCCATTGACAATGATTCAATTAATTTGGTTAAATCTTCACCCAATTTAACTTGATTAGATGAATTCTGATTTTCACTATCAATTATTTTAATCAAACTCTGGTTGTGATCAGTTGATGTTAAATTGAAAATGATAATTGGATCAACTTGGATCGTTGAATTATCATTGGGAATAGAATCCAAAATGTTCAGGTCGGTTTTAACTGTCATCTGAGTCTCAGGTGAAGCTGTAACGAGAACGGGATCTGACCTGAAATAGGAAACTTCATTTGATGAGGTGACATTCAATTCAAAGTTCAGGTCAAAAGAGACTTTGTTAATTTTGTATCGTAATTCAATCGGCATCATGATATCGGTAACATTGGTTGAGAATAAAATTGTTAATAGTTGATGTTTCAAGTTAATTGTCACCGATCTGATTTGTGAATTTTTTGAATAAGAGGCTGAAATTAACTGGAAATCGGGTGTGGACATGAGATCAGTTAGATTAAGATAAATTGAAGGTGTAGGTGAAGGGTAAAAGTAGTGCCGTTGATGGGGTGACCAAGGGTAACCTGGGATAGTTGAATAACCGTCAAGGCCACAATCTCCCATATCGAAAGCGCAATCAGGGTGATTACAAACATTATCACAATATTTATCTCCAAGCCAAAAATCAGCGCAAGAGGGACGACACTGGTCAGTTAAAGGTCGAGAAGCGGTGAAAGATGATGGCCCACCACGGAAATTGGAGTGGTCACTTAAAATGCCACCAAGAGACGAGGAGGTTAGAGTTTTATTAGTACAATCACCGCCATCATAGAGACACAAGGTTGTATTACAGGCCTGATCACAGAACCCGTCACCCAACCAACTTGCCGGGCATCCGGGCTCACAGTTCGGTACAGGCCAAGCCTGATAGATCTTGTAACCATCGGCGGGAGTGTAAAAGTCCTCCAGGTAAACGGGTTTACCCAACATAATGTCATCATTAAAGTAGAGAAATTTTTCCGATAAACCTGGAATACGATGTAAGTGAATCTCGATGGCCACAGAATTAAAGGTTGGAAGGTCACTTTTATTCGGAAAAATGTCCTTGTTCGAAAACGGAATGAAAAAAGAGAATAGAAAATGAATAGAACGAGTTTCCTTTGAACCTTTTCTCTCTCTCTCTCTCTTACCTCATGAGTAATTAATCGTAGTCTAGGATTATTAACATCCAACCAATCGGGAATTTGACCATTGGTCACCAGGTAAACATTACGAATCCACGGGGAAAACTTTTCCACCGATCGAAGGGAATATTTAAACTCATCGTTATCGGCAAATCTATTGACGTTTATCGACTCGGCGATTTTACCATCATAACATTCAACCAGATCTTCATTACCAAGGTAAAGAAGTGGGGACAAGGTTACGGTGAAATTATATCGATGACCCAGAGAAAAGAGATGGTCAATTAAATCGTCATGATGGTCAACAAAAGGTTCCAACAGAATCAAAGCTGATCTTCTAGACGAATGGAAAACAATATTTCTTATTGAATTTTTCTCTCTCTCGCTGAACAATTTAAGAAATTGTTTCCTCGGTGGTAACCATTGATAAGTCGAAGATGAAGATGAAGATGGAGATAAAGATGATGACAAGGATGAAAACATTTCCGAAGATAATATTGATCCAGTGGATGAGGTTGACGATAAGTAGATTATATTTTTAGAGACAAAACTTTCAGCCAAATTGAGTCTTTCATTTGATGAGGAGAAATCGGAACAATTAAGATGAACATAAATTGGTTTAACTGGATTAACATTACTGTGCAATTTAAAGTAATCAACAAGAGCTTTTTCCTCATCTAGAAATCAAAAGACAAAAGAGAAAAGAACAATTAAAAAAAAAAGAATAAAATTTCCAATTCAAATGAAAATCAGTTCATCGTTACCACTAAATTAATCAAATTGATTGTCTATCAACAGAATATGATTTGATTTCTGTTCTAATTGATTTGTTTTAAGGAACAATTAAATTACCTTTAGTTAAATATAAGAGATAATATTGAGAACCAATCGATTGTGAAGTAATTGTTTCAAATGATTTGATTGATTTGAACATTTCTAAACCTTTGATGTCCATTGAGGAATCAATTGCAACCAGAGTTGTATCCATGAAGATTAATCTATCAACAGGGTGATTATTTGCTGATCTATTATTGTAAATACATTCCAATGGAATTGAACAATTAACTTGTTGACCATGAATCATTTCAAGATAATTACGTTTCACTTTTAACAAGTTTCGCAAAAATGTGACCTCCGACCCGTTCACCCAAGTGTAAACCACATCAATGTCCGGCTTATTTTCACATAGTCCAAGTGAACCCGATAATTTGTTAACCATCAATTCACCGTAATCACTTTGAAATAACATGAGAGATTGTGAACTATTCCAGATCAACAGAATCTTATAATCATAATATAAGAAAAGAAAATGGATTAACCTTGATGGATTAGCAAATTTTGATTCTCTTTCAGAATTTACATTAAGTTTAACTTACCTTTTCAAACATAACGATAAATGTTATCGGAAGGACGATGAAAAAAGCGACGAAACAGAAAAGTGTCCACCGATTAGAGAGGATATCGTAGGTTCGTTTCTGGATAATCTTGAAGAAATGAGTCATTCTCATGGTGATTTAAGTGTTTGTGGTGAAGAAGATTAAGAAAACGATTGACCATTGGAGGGAAAATGAAGATAACTAATCAAGTATTGAGAAAATACAAACAAACGGTCAACATTTTAAATCGCCATTATTTGGATCAGTAAACTAACCGACATCATGTTAATCAAACAACCATTTAATCATTTGATTAGTTGATTAAGTTTCCATTCGCAATTAATTACTTGTGCTTACGTTACCATTTTCCTCTTATAAATTATCATTTAAGAAAATCTCTTCCAAGTATCTTGATTAATCATATCATGTTCAAGGATCTACTAAGTATGAAAATCAATTCTTTATTTTTATCTATCAATATTTACTTTAAACAATCAACTAATTGATGAAATAGTAATTTGATTATTATTATTTTCTTTTCTTTTAGTAATTAAACTTTTGCTCTGTTTAAATTGAATCACGTGAGCAAAAAACAAAGGAACCACAATTAAAACTGTCAAACTACAAGTGGATATTGATTGTGACAGTTTACCAAATTTTCGCAATTTAATCATTATCATTAGAGAGTTAATTGTCACCAAGTTTATGATTATATTTGGAGGACCAAAAAAATCATCTGGAAGCCGATTTATTGTCAATGTCTCTTGACAGAAACTAATTAAAGTGAACCCGAAAAGAGAAATGAATTGATTTAATAATTAACCGATCAATTAAATAGAGAGTAGGGTTTTTTTTCATCTTTTACAAATTTAATTAGGCTTTTTTGTTGTTGCAATAACAGAGAAAGAGAGAGAGGAAGAGAGAGAAAGGGAAGAGGGAAGAGGGAAAACAGGAAAAGGAAATGATGGAAAATGATGAGGGAAAAGGCTGATGGTCACTTTATCATCAGATAATAAAAATCACAAAGAGAGAGAGAGAGAGAGAGAGAGAGCAAGAAAGAGAGGATGATAAGGGGGGAAATTAAAAGGGTCAAAGACAAAAAAGATTTGATAACGAGAGAGAGAGAGAGAGAGAGGACGGGATGATTTAAATGGTTGGTGTTGTGATTGATTTGTTTGCCATTTTTTTTAAACATAAACATTTACAATTAGTTAATCATATTATATAGAAACTTGTAACAATTAATTTTTTTTCTTAATTTTTTCAGCTTTTCAGTCCTCGATTTAGGAAACAAGAGCCATCCAAGTAACAGCAGCAGCAATAGCAGCAAAAAAGGATTAATGTGATTTGGTGATTAAGGTGATGATGATGATGATGATGATGATAATGATGATAACAGGGATGTGGATGATGATACTCTCACTCTGGTTAATTATCACTCGATTGGATTTATATTATAACTATTAATATCTTTAAATTGTGATTTCTTTTCACCTCCGGAAGGTATAATATAATTTCAATAATTATATATAGCAAGTGATGAAGATAAATGATGATGATGATGACATGGCGAGTCAAAAAAAAATCTTGGTGATGATGAAGATGAAGATGAGGATGATAAACAAGCAATGTTAATATAACAGTTTTTTTTCCCATCAAAGGATTTAAACTAATTCTTGATTGAAATTGTTTTGTATGGATCAGCTGATTATTGACCTTTGGTTTCTTTCAACAATCAATTACAACAATTATTGGTTCCATAATTAATCATTTAAGGTACAAAATAATCAACAGTTAATAATATCAATATAATTATAATCCTTTTTTTGTGAGTCACAATCTGTTAATTGATTGATTGATTGATGATGATGGTTGAGTTTGATGAGAGTTGTATGAGGCAATTAGTATATATATATATTTATATTATTATTTATAAATTTAATCGTAATTGTGGTTTTCCTTTTGTAATTAAATTGTGATTTAAGATGAGTGTTTATCATTGAGTTTCTTGATACTTTGCTAGAATCACAATTAAACACCTAGAGAGAGAGAGAGAGAGAGAGAGAGAGAGAGCTGATGATGATGATAAACAATCAAACTGGTGGTTTGTGATTAATTAACAACAAATCTTTTAACTTTGTTAACTTTGTTTTCGCCAACAATCAATTTAATTTTGATGATATTAACCATTGGTTATAATAATAATATATTGTGTATAAAAAAAACAGGTAAATTGATGATGATCGTTTCCATTTGCTGTTAATTGTTTTCCGATTGTAAATAAATCATCAATTAATTGGTGAAGAAGAAGAAAAAATTTTGTCATCTTTGATTGTGCTTTAATTTCAAATTGTAAGGTAACTCGATTCAATCCTGGTCTCGTTTTTTTTTTGGTTCAGTATTTTGTGAGTGTGTCTCTTTTTTTTTTGGTTGATTGATTGTTGATTTAATTGTCGATCGATCTAATTGCCGATAATTTAAATGTTCGATGTTAATAAAAAGGGAACATAAAACATCTTGGAATCTAATAAAATGGTTGCACACTTTTCGATCAGATGGATTGACCTTAAGATCATCTTGTACCTCGACGGGGACGAGTAGCAGCTCAGCACGTTGAGATATTTACAGTTAATCCTTTCGATAATATCTAATCCGGCTGCTTCCCTTTCCGATAATAATTCTTGACGTTTCTCACTGGTCATCATGGTCATTATGATCACCTTGAGCAGGACGTATTCCTCCATCTTTAAGTTAATTGACTTTAAATATAATTTCACTTTACAAAGATATTCAATTAAAAGTCGAGACTCTTTCTCCAAACTGTCAAGGGTTAGATTATCCTCTTCTCGGCGGGTACGTCGTTGGACAATTTTATCTGATAACGAAAATTTAGAAAAGCAAAAAAAAAACAATAACAATTAGTTAATCAGTTCTCTTTTATAACAATTTTCTTCACAATTAACTTACCTAAACAATTAATCAATTTCTGCATTGATTGTCTCATTTCTCTTTGTAATTCTTCATCGGATTCTTCGTAAATTCTGTTATTAGAACTGTTATTATCTTCATCGTCTTCATCGTCTCCAAAATCATCTTCATCATAACGTTGGGATGATTTACCGTTATGATGATGACCATTTCCATTTCCGTTATGACTTAAATTGGACGAGTAGCCATTGTTGTTTGAATTTGATTCTTTTAAAATTTGGTAAGCACAAAAGGTTAATACTAACAATGAATGCCATTTATGAGTTAATAACTGTTGACAATTAAGCAAACAATTAATTCAATTCCATCAATGAGAGACAATTAATTGTTGGAAAACATGGAAAGAGAAAACAAAATTGAAGAGAAAAAAAAATTAGTAATTATCAATCAAGAAGAAGAAGTAAAAAAAAAGTTATTGATCAACATTAATAATCATCGTAATTAGTAATATAAACTAATTGTTACAATTAAACGAAAGAAAATGCAAACAATCAAGTTAAATCGTTAAATTGATTCAATAAGTGTCAATGAACATTTAATTTTAAAACAATTAAAATTGTTTAAACAGCTACAATACTAATTTAATTAACAGGTATTGATAACAATTGAAAATAATCAATACTAATCAATGAATATAATTAGTAACTTATTAATAATATAATATTAAAAAAAACAAGTGATTAAAATTAAATAATCATCTCCTACAATTAACTAACTAATCAAGTGAAAGCTTAATAAAATTATACTTATTATTTAGTTGATTTGCTTAATTATAATCAAGTAAATGATGATAGCAGTTAATTTTTTCAACTCAAAAAACTCGCAATTAGTTGATTGACAAATTGTCAAGCCAACAACAGAAAAAAAAAGTTAATCATTGATAAATATAAATATAAGAAAAAATTAGTTAACTTAAAGTTCATTGACCGTTAATTGTAATTTTAACTTTAACAGTTAATCAAGAAAAAGTTATATAACTTTCACAGTTAACGGTAAATGTTTTTGCTTTCAATTTGATTGTATCATGTTACTGTTTTTTTCAACCAACCAACACACACATTTAATTGCAATTGAATATCATGATAATCATCATCATGATAATAATCAACTTTTAATGATAAATTGTTGATCATCAAGATAATTATTAGTATTTATATAAATACATATAAGTTTAAAGTGAAATTAAAATTCAACCAGAATCATGACCAGAATTGAAAACCAGAACCAGAACCAGAACCAGAATCAATTACAATTTGAAACTTTCTAATTTAATAATGAGAGAGCTTAATAATTTATCATCCTTTTCATCATCATCGTCATCATCATTGGTGATGATGATAAAATAAATGACATTTGCCTGTTCAATATTCATTTCTAGGTCAATTCAATATCAATTATATTGACTAAGTAATTATTATCATGTATTAATGTAAACACTTTAACTGATAATATATGGATCAAAATTGATTGTTGGTTAAATTGTTCATTGTGGGTTTGTGATTAATTCATCGTGATAATTAACTTCATAGCGGGTCTAGAGGCTTATAAACAGGAAAAGGAAACAGAAATTGAGATATATTTTAGTTGATTAATCAAAGTTTCCAGCAAGAAAAAAGTTGATGATAAATATAAACTTATCATGACAATTAATTATATTAACTAAGATTTTGATGAAATCATCTCACCAGTTAAATTGTGGTAATATAAGTTAATTTGATGAAATATGATTCCCCTCATAGTTTAGCTTTACACCATTACTTCAATGTCAATTTAGTTAATTGTTGTAAAACTTTTCTTCTTCGTTATAATTGTGAAATTAAATAATCGACAACGATGAGAACGATGAAAATAGATGAGTTTAAATTCATCATCAACAACATAAGATGAAATCATCATGTTCATGTTCATTTTTTTTATGGTTCAATGTCCAAATAAACTAAATCAAATGTGGAAAAAAAATTAAATTAAATTGCTACTTGGAAGTGATGATAAATTGCTAATTAGTCGTAATGAGTTGATTGTGGTTAATATTAATACAGATTTGGTTACAAATGAGCCTGGTACACATGATGAGAATTGGAAATAAAAAAATGAACAAGAGAGCTACAAGAATGATGGTGAAAAGTGATGATGATGATGATGATGAGGAATCTTTCAATTTGATTATCATCTCCGTGATAATATATTAATTTTGATCAGATCGAAAGGGAATTTGTAACAAAATAGACAGAGGGAGAAAGTGAAAGAAAGTGTGGGTTTCCCAGAATGAGAATGAGCAATAGAGAGAGAGAGATGATAGTGAGTGAGGGAGAAGGTGAAAAGCCTGGTGATGGTTACTACCAGGAAGTAGGAAGTGATACCACAAATATATTGATATATTGATCATGGTTAGAGAGAGAGAGAGAGAGATAGGAAGAGAGGGAGAGAGACGGAGTGATCGTGGTGGTGAAGGAGAAGGAGGAAGCTAAGGAAAAGTTCATGGCAAGAAACATAGAAAAGAGAGCAATGTTTCTTTCTACAGGGTTGGCAATTTATTTTTACACATTTTAATTTGGTGATAACTTTTGAGTTAAAGATTTTTATTAATTAAAAAAGGAACCAAATTGTAGACAAGATTTGGGAGATCACTTTGGTACGTGTCTGAAATGTTTTCTGAAGAAATGAACAAAATTCAGCCTTTTTCTGAAGGATAGTCTTGAACTGAGCTTCAAGTTTACTTCAGTATCTAAAAAGATTTAGTTTAGTTTAGAAGTGAAAACCCATAGAGCTTCATTTGTTTTTGTGTAAAAATGGTCTTCGTTTCGATCGAAAATTAAACGGATTAATTCAATCGAATATTTTTTTGATATGGCTAAACTAATCTCCCAAACTTGAATAATCGATTTAAGCAAAGACCAAACAGATTAGTTAATTAATTTTCGAAATATTTAAGAAATAAACTGTGTAAAAATAAATTGCCAACCCTGTATTATCATGATTATTTCAGGGTAGATTGAACTCCGAATCGTATATTTATATATATAAATTCATGATATAATTTCTAGCCTGAGTTTCTGGCTCATGAAAAGTTCACATAGATTCCTGATATGTTATCATTCATTTACTTTACGAGGATTATGATTACAAGAATCCTCAGAGTTTATTGAGCTTTCAGATTTTATCCTTGTACTAATTTCTCAATACATTTAATTTACACACACACACAAATGATAAACAATTTGTTTATTTACTTATCATTAACCACTAATCGTTAGATAATCCCAAATATCACTAATCGTTTAAATCATCATCAAAAAAAGAGAGAAAAGTGAAAACAAAGTTACAATTATAATAAACAGAAACATCAGATTAGCTTGATGATCATAAATATAAAAAAAGAGTAACAATTTAACTAAATAATATCAAACAATTTATATGCACACACACACACCACATATTAAGAGAAAGTCACACAATTAAATCAACAATTAGATAATAAGTCTCACTCTCTAATTACGATAAAATTAATCTGATTATCTTTCAACAAACGTTCATTGAATCGTTTGCATAATAAACTGTTGGGGTGATGATAATAAACTTGATGTTCAAAGGTAAATGACTTGTGATTGACGCTTGCGAAAAACTTTCACTTTGAAAGTAAAGTGAAAGTTTAAGAGAATTGAAAGAAAAAGATGATTACAATTAGTTGATTTAGTTATTAGAAAGAAACAATTAACACTCACCATTGTGTGACATTGAACAGGCAGTGAATCATAAAAGGGAAGCTTTTTCGTCCATTGGACAAGCTTATAAACAATGGAATCGCCAATGGAACACAATTTATCGTTAAGTGTAAGCTCTTGTTTATCTTTTCCGTCGATTGACCTCGAAGAGCCAATGGTCATTATTAACTTTTTCACTTTACTTCGATTCTCTTCTCGATCATCCAGATCTTCATCTTCTTCAACACCTTCATCCTCTTCTTCCGTTTTAATTTTAATCTCAGTTTCATCATCTAAATCATGAGAATTAACAAAGTTAACATCTTCCATTACTTCATTAAAATCATCAACTTGAATCAATTCCATGATAATTTCATGAATCTCTTTACTAGATAGTAACTCTTTACGAACACCGGACATTAAACGATGATGAAGAAAATGATTAACATGATTGTTGTTATTGTTGTTTTTGTTGTGATGATGATGATCTCTCATCTCGAATGGACTTTTACCTCGAGTTGATGAATTACAATCAACAAGGACGAGGTCGTAACTCTTATTATTATTATTATTATTTATGTGACTTAGGTTATTGTTGTTGTTGTTGTTGGTGGTGGTGGTGGTGGTGTTTGTGGAGGAGTGGTTGTTATTTGATCCATCAAATAAACTATGATTACTGTTACTATTATGATTTGTGTGGATATTATTTGAATTACTATTACCATTGGACATTCCGTGACTATTATCTCGATTATTTGAATTGTTGCTACTATTACCATTGAGATGATGGTGATTGGTGTTGTTATTACTGAGCACTAACTGATGATGGGAATTATTATTATGATGATTATTATTATTGTGATGATGGTGATGGTGATGATTGTTGATCGGATAAGGCGATGTTAATGCTGACTTGAGTATATTCATCGTTGAGGATGGACTATTTAATGGACTGGGTGGACAACCATGATTACCGGTTGATCCACCGGTAGATGAGCCAAGGCCATTAGATGAGATAGTAAACATTGAACTAACTCCTCCATTGGTTGAATCATTTCCACCTCCGGGTCCGGGACCTCGACCATTGGTACTAGAAGTAGAGTTAAGAGATGCTTGACCAAGGGCAATGGAAAGGCTTCCATTACCATTTAGGGTGGACAGACTATTGGATAAGGATGAGGTTGGTGAAGATGAAGATGATGATGATGATAGAGAATTTTTACCATTCGATGTACCATTGCCAAGTGAACTCGAACCATTGGTTGTACCATTACTGTTATTATTATTATTATTATTATTAGCATTTGAGGTTAATGAGGAGGGTAAAGATGAACCATTGGTACCGTTAGGTTGTTTCTTGTGTTTCTTATATTTTACTTTGTACAAATTGTAAACAGCACCAGAATTACGGCCTCCGGGCATACGATCTTCTCGGACCGCTGCAAGAACCATTCCCTGTCGTAGGCACTTTTGAAATCTACAATATTGACAACGGTTTCGTTGTTGTTTGGTTATAACACATTGACCTTCGGCAACGCAAACGTAAACTCGCTTATTTTGTACTGTTCGTTTAAAGAAACCTTTACAACCCTCACAGGTAATTATACCATAATGAAGTCCGGTTGCTTTATCATCACAAATCATGCATATCATGTTGGGTGATGAGGATGAGGTTGGTGTTGATGAGATTAGGTTACCCATGGCGGATGCTGCTGAGTTTGATGTACACAGTAAACCGGATGATGGTGGTGAAGAGGTGGATGAAGATGATGATGAGGGTAAGGCTAATGGTAAAGATGAACTAGGAAGGTGACCTAAAAGATGGCCACTTGAGGAGGGAGAATTGGCTAGAGATGTAGCAAGAGAGGAAAGTGAATGATGATGTGAGGGTGATGAGGAAGATGGATGGACAAGAAAACGAGGATGATTAAGATGATGAAGATGATCGGCGGTTGGATGGTTTCCATTGGAAGATGGTGAACCATTTATGGTACCATTTGAATTACCATTTGTATTAGATGAACGATCAATACCTCGAACATTATTTATTAATCCTCCTCCTCTTTCACTTAAATCACGACCATTTTCTCGGCCATTGGAACCATGATCAACCTCTGAACCATTGGTATCATTATTAGAACCCGAATAATTGAAAGGTACTAAAGATCCGTATGAAGATACGGAGGAGTGATGATGAAGATTATGATGATGATGATGATGATGATGATCACGAGATGAACCATTGGTTGAACCATTAACAACCATTGATCCATCACTTGAACCATTTGGTTCACATGAGGTTGGCGAGGAGGAAGATATTTGGGATGAGGGTGGAGATGAGGTAATGGATGGAGGTGAAGATGAAGGCGGTGAAGATGAACTGGTCATCCCTGTGCTAGAAGGTGGCGATCCTTTATTCATTATGGTCCCTAAATTAAGATGAAAAGAAAAAACCAACAATTAACCAAAAAAAAAAGAAACTAAATTAAATTGGAAGAAGAGAGAAAAATTGATTCAATATAATAATAACAAATTACTACACCAATTAAGTAAACAATACAATCAGCCAACAATTAATATAATTAATGACGATGATAATACAATTTATCATTTTGTTCTGGTGCAAATATAGACCAAAGTAAAAGTCGAGCAAGGTCAGCACCAACGCGTATTATATAAAGGTTAATTAACTCTTTTAAGGTGAATCAACATTATCATCATCATCAGCAAAGTTTTCAATCAAAAGTTGAGTGAAAGATGATGATGAGAGAGAATGAGAAAAAAAAGTCATTCTAATACCAAAGTGAGAAATAAGTAAACCAAAATTTAAAATATTATGATGATATACAAATGAAATGAACGTAATTGGGTGCACACATCAGCTAATGATTATTTAAATCAAACTATTCACAATTTATAAATTGTATTGTGTAAATTGTTGTAAAAAAAATGGGAGAGAGAGAGATGCATATGAAATTAACAAGGTCATTTGGTTAGAGAGAGAGAGATGATGATGATGATGATTTTGTTGTTGATGTAATTGTTGGTATTTGTATGTAACCTTGCGATTGCAGATCGAGGTTGTTTAACCTTGATCAAGGTTGATTGTAATATACATATACTAACACACAATGGTTAAGGTGAATGATGAAGAAAGGGAGGGAGAGAGAGAGAGAGATGACAGATATGAGAGAGAAAATTTTTCTTCCTCATCTTATTTGTTAACTTACATAACATAGTTTTACCGGGTCCTTGGCCTGGTAGATCACCCATGATAAGCGGTGTAGGTGGTATACCACAGGATAGGCGAGATTTGGTGACCATTACCGATGAACCTGAACTGGACTTGGGTTTAGTGGTAAGGTCAAGGCAGCCCTCAAGGTCCAAATCAAAGGGTGATGAATTGGTTGAAGAAGAGGTTGATGAGGTTGATGAAGAAGATGAATTTGACCTGCGAGCAGTTAAAGATGAAGATGTTGTCGAACCAACAACCGCTTCTAATGAGACAACGGGTAAAAATCGTTGACCCTTATCATCAGTGGACATTAGATCATGTTGCTTGGGGTCATATTTAGGTGTTACCGTAGTACCAATTTGAGCTGAGGTTCGCATCTTTTTCAGCTTTAAGTTATGAAACATATTCATATCCATCTTTTTCATGTAGGCATAAGATATATATACTTATTACTAAGTATATATATTAAGTGATGATGATGATTAATTAGTAAATTAATAAATTATATACACCAAACACAATAGAGAGAGAGAGATAATTAACTAAGTAAATATAAAGATTTGTGAATAATATGATTACTCTTTATGGTGAAAGGTTGAGTGTTGTTGTGGTGGTGATATGAACCCACCAGACGAAAAAAACACCAAACGGAAAAGGGGAGAAGATGAAATCCAAAGGATGAGAGAGAGAGAGAGATGATGATGATGATGATGACAAATAGCCAACAAAGAAGAAGAGAAGGAGATTGAAAGGAGAGAAGAAGAAGGAGAAAAAAAATAGAAGAGAAAAAAACAAAGATTCCAAAAAGAGAATAGAAAAAATTGAAGTAAACAAAAAAAAAAAAATTCTCTCTCTTCTCTTGGAAATTGATTCACTAGATGAAGAAGATGAGGATGATGATATAAATTCTGATGGTGGAGATCACAAATAATCACGGATGATGAAAGAAGAAAGAGTTTGAAATGACCGGAAGAGAATTGGAAAATCAAGTTAAACAATATTCCTTACAAGAGAAGAAATAAAATATTCCATTTGGTTTAATATAATCCATTGTTTTTTGTTTGTTTCTCTCTCATTAACAGGTAATTAACAAATTCTATTAACAGTTTAATATATAATTTCCATTGAATGAAGAAAATTGTTGAAGAAAACAAAGCAAACAGAGAAAAAGATTAACAGAGATGAGGAAGATTAAGATTAACCATTTGATGTTGTTGATGTTGTTGTTTGTTGGTGAATCATTTGAAAGATTCAACAGAAAATCACAGAAAAAGCACAAAATGAGAGGGAAATTGAAAGAGAATGATGATAAAGATGAGAGAGAGAGAGAGCGATTGGTGTTTCTTGGTGTTTCTTTGCAATTAAAATGATAAAAAGAGAGAGATGAAGATGAAGGATGATGTCACTCTCGCAATACTTTTACTGTTTAGTTTTGTTCTTGTTGATGGTGATGATGATGACGAACTGTAAGAAAGGCAAAAACGAACTGTAAGTGAAGGTTCATTCACATGCTCGTCTCTCTCTCTCTCTCTCTTGCTCTCTCTCGTTTGGTCTTCGAAGAAGAAGAAGAGAGAGAGAAAAAATATACAGAGAAGATAAAAAGAAAGAGCTCCCGATTTACTTTTCTCTCTTTCTTTCTTGAAAATGTTCGATAAGCGAAAAGAAAAAGAAAGAGAAAAATCAAGTCAATGACCTTAGTTACTTTTCTTTCTAAAGGCGGATAAGGTTACATTTAAATTCTCTTTCTTTTTGCTCTTGACGCGCATTCTCTTTCTCTTTCTCTTTCTTTCGTAAAAGGGGTGGTAGAAAAATAGAAAGAAAGTAAAGAAAGAGAAGATAAATGTTCCTTTCTTTTGCCCTAATTCAAGAAGAGAAAAAGATGAAAAAAAGTCAATGAACTCACATTTCTATTTGACCCATTTTTTCTCTCTCTCTCTCTTTCTCTTTCATTATTAAATTGTTATTTTTATCTCTCTCTCTCTCTCTTTCTCTCTATCACTTGTGATGATGATAATGATGATGATAGACAGAGTAAAAAGAGAAGGAAGAAAGAGAAAGAGAAAGACTGAAGAAGAGGTTAGAGTGAAAGTATTAATGTTCAATGATGATGATGGTGAAGATGAAGATAAATATTGATTGGATGTTGAGTTTACTATTTTACTCCCTCATCATTATCTTCCTGTTGGTGAGTTTTATCATCCTCATCATCTGAGGTCAGAGTTGCAATTAAATATCAATGCACTTGTCTATCTTTAGTCTCTCTCTCTCTCTCTCTCTTTTTTCGTTCTCTCTCATTCTATTGTCATCAAGGTGATTTTTGTCTCACTTTTTAAAATTTTACTCTTTCTTTTACCTTTTCTCATCTTCATCATCATTTATCATCATTACGAAATTAAATTTACCTTTCTTTTCATTGGCAATGTTAATTTGGGTCATCATTAGATTTAAATTACACTTTAATCCTTTACAATCAATTTAAACCACATAATCAGATGATAATTATCTTGTTGATAATAATTAAGATATTACAATTGAGATTAAATTGTTGTTGGTTGATCAATGAAAAAGTTTAATTATTGGCCAATTTTTGTTTATTTTTGCTGTCTAAAAGTTTATTAGTTGATGATTAATCATCTTGATTGGTAAACAATTTAATTTACAATCAAGAATCATTATCATGGTGCTTATGACAATGTTGTTTAATTGTTGAAAGTTAATTCCTGACAACTAGTCAATACTTTTTGTTTACCATTGCCTTTGATATTAACCTAGTTAGACTTTAATTGTTACCATACAATCAACTAATCATAACAAGTTACATCTTCTTTCACATGCTCAGAACTTTTTTATCATCCTTATCATCATAACATTGGAGGTTATCGTTCTAGAGTGACATAGTTAATTTTCAGAGTTAATCATCAACAAGAAAAATATATAATAGTTAATAAATTGTTGCCAGATTATATCAAATAGAGAGAGAGAGAGAGAGAGTCAATTAGAGGTCATAATTAAAAAATCCTCCCATTACCAGAACAATTAATTCAACTATTAGATAAATCAATTGATTCCAAATAGAAACATCAATGTTAAGATTAATCAAATTTAAATCTTAATTGTGAACCACAATTGAAGTTAAAATCAGTTGGGACGATTTGTTTACATTTCAACTCGTTCAAGTGCTTGTAGTGGGTTATTATTATCACCTCTTTATCCTCCACCTCCTCCTCTTTAACCACCACGACTACATGATGATGATGAGGATGATTATCATGAAGATTTGAAGGGAAAACCCGGTAGAGATGATGATTATTTTTGGATGATGAAAGTAAGTTAATTTAGTTACTTTCTTTTGGTAACTAACTACAAACTTGATTTCGGACTTAGACCTAAATTACAACAATCTAATCTGAATTAACAACAATCCTTTTGAGATTGTTGGTTCAGTTCAATGTCCTTTAAAGAGTGAGCGAGTGAGTGAGTGAGAGAGTGAGAGAGAGAGAGTGATGATAATAAGAAGAAAAAGTTTTCTCTTTCTTTTCTTTCTTTCTTTTTTATCTTCATTTTCTTAATATTGACTCTCTCTATCTCTCTCTCTCCCCTTGATAATTAAACCTTTATGATTTATCTTCCTATTTTCATGATGATAATGATGAAAAGTTATTATTATTTGTTAACCTTTTCATTTGAAGTTAATCGTAATCAGAAAACTTTATATAATTAACTTTCACTGTCTCCTCATTAACAATCAACTGATTGTAAATGATTATATTTATCAATCAACTGATAATCCAAGCCCGAAATAATAATAATCAACTAATCATTAGTTTCACTCTGAATTAGCAACAACAACAACAACAACAATATTTATCCTTAACTTGATAATGATAATCAATCAATTAGTAAATTCGTAACTAAATCAAATGAATCAAATGGTTCGAAAAAAGTTCATTAGAATTTCAATTCGACGAAAAGAAAAAGGAACAAAAATTTCTAGAATTATTTTCTCTTCCTTCTAAACTTATCTTCCTCTTCGCCATCATTATCATCTTTCTATGTAATAACAAGACTCTCTCTCTCTCTCTCTCTCTCGTAAGAAGAATAAGTAAAAAACTAGGTTACAGTTTATCATCCATTTCTCTTCCTCTCTCTTCCTTAATGTTCATCATTATCATCATAGGAAGATCATTTTTCCCACAATAATTCACCTTCTTTTAGCTTCATCTTCATTACCATCAGCACCAAAATACACATACAGGTACCGATACCGGCACATTAGCACCAGTCCATAAGGACACCGATAGTCTCTGGGCAATAAAAAACAAACTGGACATCAAATTATTATTATATTTATATGGTCAATGGTTTAATATGGTAAGTTGGTAATTCCAAGAACTGAAATCATTGGGAAAAAGTTTTCCAATGGTTTTTTTTACCTTTATATTTATATACAAATGAACATCAACAAGTAACAATCAAAGATTATTATCATTACGATTATTATATTGTTACGAATGGACAATAAACTATTTTGGAGACAATTTAATTCTGACAATTTACACTTACACTTTCTTCCTGTCTCTCACTCTGTATTTATACTCATTATAATCACAAGGTTGATTAAATTGTCTATCAACTGCAACAATCAACAATTTAAATAGTTTTGATTGTTTTGCGAATTTCGTTTTTTCGTATCTTTAGAGTAATTTCAAAAGTTTCGAATTTTTTTTCGTCCATTTTTGAATATAACGTTAACTCGTCGTCGTTGTTTTCGTTGTCTTCGTCCTTGAGAAAGTTGATAACGGGGAGGAAGATGAGAAGGAGAGAGAGAGAGAGAGAGAGAGAGAGAGAGAGAGAGAGAGAAAGTTAATGATACGGATGAAGATGAGGATAAAGATGAAGATGAAGGAATTTTCCTTTTTCTTTTTTAAAAGAAGAGCAAATAACCTCATCAATTACAACATCAGTGTTTATCTTCCTCATCATCTTCCCTCATCCTTTTAAGGAGGAGTTGAAAGTATCTCTATTTCTCTCTCCCTCTTTTCATTTTTATCCTCATCCCAATTTCCATCATCAATCTGGTCTAATTCAATCTCGAAGATGAACAAAAAAAAAAGTTCTGAATAAAATTCAATCAAGAACCTGAAGGTTACTCTCACTTTAGTTACTTTTTTTCACCAGAATACTGATCAATATTAACATAGATGTAACGTCAATTATCATCATCATGTTGATGAAGATGAGGATGATAAATTTGCAACCTGATAAATTGTATATCTATCATGATGATGATGATGATGATGAGGATGATACTATTACAATGATAACCTTGGCCTGATACAGATAAAGTTTATTAACATTTAACAAACTACACATGATGATGAAAAAAAAAGTTAATCATAACAATTTAATAGACCAATATAAACAGTTATCAACAATATTATTATCACAACTGCTTCTGATAAACTACAACAATCAAACAAGTAACACTAATTAACAGCAGTAGTAACAATTTATCAACAATCAGTTTTCAGGTCAATACTTAAAAAAAAAGTTTCATCACAATCAAAAGTTTTACTTTTTTAATATACAATTTTGTGATTTAACTGTTGATTGTTAAAGATATACAGTCAACAAAGGTGACAATAAACACACAGGCATATAAGTTGATTATTGTTATTATCATTTAAATTGGATCAAGATCATAATCATCATCATCATCAACATAATCAATTGATTAATCATATACAAAAAAAAACATTTTTCAATGAATCGCAGGCACAAAAAATAAAACCAAACCTTTTTTTTATCCAAAAATATCAACATCTAACTAACCACAGGAAAGGTAATATAAAAAAGGATGAGGATGACAAAAAAAGGAAAGGTTTATCCCGAAAAAATGATGAGGATGATAACCGGTGTAACTCTCTCTCTCTCTCATCATCATCTTGCATCACAAGCACAACACCAACAACAACAACACAATCCAGTCTGAGTTTGACCTAAATAAATTCAATAGTATCTTACCGAGAGTGAGTGAAGATGATGAAGATGAAGATGAAATAAGGATGAAAAAAGGAAGAAAAATTATGTTCTAATATATATAATATACCGACAATCAAGAGACTGTACCTAATCCGAGTCGAGTCCGTTGTCGCTCTTATTGTGACGAGTATTATATAACATAGGAAGAGAAAGAAATTGAGAGAGAGAGACTAAAGGTGCGATCTGATTATCGAAGTGAGAAGAAGATGAAAAGATGATGATGAAGATAAAAAAAAGGTAAGAAAAAAGAAAAGGTTCGAGAATTAGGCCATTTCTTCCGTCCGTCCATCCGTCAAAAATGAAAAAATATAACTGACCTCAAACACTTTTATTATATCAGGACTTATATTACGAATGCAATTGTCATCGGAAAAGGAAACAGTAGGTTTGCAGTAAGAAAAACATGATTTACCTTTTTTTTTATTATCATTTAC